CTCATGTGGTCATGTGTCATCATATTTCACATTTTTCACACAGTGAGCTCTGAACTGAAGTGTGTGGACAAAAACGTCAAAACACATCGTGCGGAGCTCTTTTCACTGAAGCCTCAGCGTGGTGCAGTGTCTTCCCCCGGGTCCTCCTCAGTGTGCCTCTGGGCTTCACTTGCTTCCTTTTTTTTTGTAATTTTTACACATTTTGCCTTGAAAAATGATTGCACTGTGTACCATGGTTGTATCTTCTTTCTCCTTTCCGTCAACCTCTTACTGAAGTTGGTCACAATTCATTGATTCACTTACACTGATGCTTAAAAGTAATGAAAATAAATCAATACAGCAGCACTTGATACAGAACAGGAAACACAAGGCAGAACCTAGAACAAACACCTTACCGGGACTCATTTGTGCTTAAAGTGGAAAAATGCCTTTAAGGGTCTGTATTGACAACAATAAGAATCAGCTCGACTCAGAACTGAATCTGAAGCCAGGTCAAAGTAAAATCAATCCCACACATCAATAATCCAACTTCCTTGCTGCAACTTTATTGCCTATGGGACTTTATTTCCCCTGCAGTTGTCTTCTTAGGCAGAGCTTACTCTGAGGATGTGTAAAACCAGCAGTGACTTCCAAATATTCCCTCAAAAAATGCTGTAAATGCTGCTGCAAATGCAGTCGCTTCTGACTGCAGTAAACAGGATTTGCATAAACGGGGATATCTCACCTGGACAAAAGCTCTGTCATGTTCTCCTCGCTCATCCCGCCAAACACTTTGAACTTTTTGAGGTTACAGACGTGAGTCTTCTCATACTTCCCAAAGGTGATGCTCTGAACAATTGCCGGCCTTTCCAACTTCAATATTAAAAACTGGAGGAAAAGAGAAACAGAGACACAAATTACACTGAAAGCAAAGAGCAGACTTTGGATGCACTTAGTGTGTGTGGAGGACTGCAGGAAATTGCCTGTGATTACGGCGGGCCAGGCGCTGTGAAAAGATTTGCTCGTTATCTAAACGACTACAGCAGGGTCAATCTACTGCATCAGGTAAGTGGCATTACATACAATCTATGAGCCGCGTCCGCATGTCACTGGCACTCTAACAAGCCAGGACATCAAATGACAAATGACCGGCGGCCGCTGGCCAGAACCAGTGGAGGCCACAGGCCAGAGCATTGATTTAATGTGTCACTGGACAGCAGGCACTTAACAAACCCAAGAGAACAACATTTTCAT